TTCAATTTTTATAATTTCTTTACCTAACTTTGACATAACAGCCATAATCCTCCATGCGTCCTAATCCCTCATCATCACCTGGCGTCCATAATCCCTCGTCCGCCTGACTGGCGCCCGTGACGTCACGACGGAAATTTCCCCGCCGGGACCCCCGAGCCAATCACAGCTCACCGGCGGGAACTTACAGCGCCGAACCAATCGGAAGCCAGGATTTTACTCATCCCTTCTCCAAATTTTCCATCAATCACATCCTTGCACTCTCCTTAAATACCGCACACTTTCCACACTCATAATCTGTCAATCATTCACTCGACATTCACTCATCGCTCAACCACTGGACAACACATCAACAGAGAGGACAAGTCTTCTTACGACTAACTCTCCACTCTTGTAAATATTAACGTTTAAAAACTCAAATATATTTCGCTCAACGTTGGATCTCTGGAGTTGTCATTTAATAACCTGCTCACCTCCACAGTACTTTAAAAAATATCTCAAATGTCTCTACTACTACCGCTAATTCCTCTTCTTTTAGTCCTTGAAAAAATTCTCCCTCAAAAAACAGAAAAGTTGGTTCTCGGGATGAGCCGTCTCTCAACAGTCAGTCGTTATCAATATTTGTAATTTGTCTGTTCATTGATGAACGAAGCCAAAGGTTTTATTGAAAGTTAGCTGAGCTGCTCTTCATGTTTATATTGTGTCAGTTGCTATTTAAAAAATACTTGAAGGAAAATAATTTATTTCAATAAATGTTACATGTCAATTTCATATTTAGGCTTCCTCATTAATAATTCCTTCCCTAAAATTACATAACATGAAGCAAATTGAAGTTATTTCAGTACCGAGGTGCGCATAGTACGATTTTAATTCTGATTTCATAATTTTATGTTTTTGATAAACCAATGACACGTTCGATGTGAACTCGTTTACTTGCTAATTTTCCATCTCTCACAACAACCAGTCCAGTTAATTGCGATTTTCCTTTCAAAAACGCCGGAATATTCACTAAAATTCCATTCGGAGCGAAAAGATCTTGAACTGTAAATCCACGATCTGCAATCACGGAATCTCCTGAATCTCACTTTTGTGTCAGATTATTCCTTTCAACTATTGCTCTATCACTTACTGACCCAACATAAGCTGGTGAACAGTAACTGATTAATCCTGCCGGTGACGCTCCAACGACTATTTTCAAGGTATTGCGCTTCTTATAGGTGCTGAACGTAGCATGTTAGAATATTGGATTGGTTGGCTTGGCTATAGGTATCTCAGTGCCATCAAGAATCACACGAGTTGATGGATACGCATTTCTAAAACCTTCAGGCATGTAGTATTGCACCAATTCCTTCGATGGCCACACATTCAGTTCGCCCCACTCCAATGCCATAAAATTTATCCATGTGACTACCACGTTAGCTACAGTCTTTTTACTCACATCGAACAGAAGGGATATCCCCATATCAGGCATTGCTGTCCTTAATTTTATTAGCGTCATGAAAAATTGATTCTCAACACGCAGATTGGAGACATCGTTATATCGATACTGGAATTTATGAACTGCTGGGCCCAATGTATCAAAAACAAACATGAATTTCTCAAATGACTTAAGACCTGTATAATATGCAATCGCTTTTGGATGATTTTCGCATTTGAAACATGAAAATAAGTTCACCATTGTCTGCGTACTTATTGAAACTGTCTTCTGCATCGGCCCCTTTTTCTGACATTTATTTTGTAGATTTATCCTGGTAGAGCACGTCTGAACGATCCCTTCACTCATAGATTTATTCTCTATTTTCAACGGGAGAGGATCCAACTCGATTTCCAAACCAATATGGTCAATAATTTCACTGAATTTATTGGGATCATCTGATAATGCATAATTACAAACGAAATCCGAAAGATCTTTATGAGTCAACTGAGTTTTTCTTCTTTTCGAGTCTTCAAATATTTTCAAGTTCTTCTTTTTCACCTCAGAGGATTTTGAAGTTCGTAGATAAAGTTTTTTCTTCCATGGGAAAATAGAAGGTACAGCTTCCTTCACCAGTGTTCGTCTCGTTAATAATTGACCTTTAAAAAGAGTAAGATCGAATTATTCATCTAGGTTGCTAACGTTCAATATATCTTGAATTAATTTTCCATCCTAGAAGGGTCAAAATTTCTGATAGATATCTGTGTCGAAGCCTTCAGAAGCATAATCACTTTGCTCGAAATGAGAGCTGCACACGCGGGATGCAGAGGTTATACGGAATGATTTCTCTCGTTTAATAGCTACCAGCCATTTTTTACACATTTCTGCATCCCTTGGAAACTTATGCCCACCCATATTTTTACACCCAAACACAGAACACGTCGGCATATTGCTCTACTGATTTAGAAATAGATGTTGAAAATGTAGGCTCCAAAATATCGCATGTCAACACATGCAGTATCTGAACTCTGCGCCAGTTTTCATGGTCGTGTGGCCCCCTCGCCCCTCTATTTATCCACGCAGCTGTTATGTCCTATCAATGTTACTAGGAGGACAGTGGCGCCTTTTTGAAATAACGAGCGCCAAACTTCGAAATGTGGATCCGTTAGCCGCTAAACCTCTGATGAGGACTCCATCGATGTTGACTCGTTCATTTTTGGATAAATGGGTTGAAGGTTTATTCCAGCATAAATCAAAAACACCAGTGCTTAGGAGAGCACATTAACACTATTTATTTCAAACTTCTGATTTAAACTTGAAAACTTTGGTAGAGAAATTCACTTGATAAAACTTTTATGGAAAACTTTAAGAAAAACTAATCGAAGAGAGAAGCTGGAAAAGTTGTCGGAACCATAGCCACGATGGGACTGACTCTATCTTAAACTAAAAATCTAAGGGTTGGGTCCATACACCCCCACTAGACCAAAAGTTGCGCGTGCAGTTGGCCCGGAAGAAAGGGAAGAGGGGTAACCACTGATCTCTATATAACTGGATAGCTGATCCCTATGCTCCCACCACTCTCAAAGTGAGGCGAATTGAAGTGTCAGCCAGCGCTGCCGTATAGTAGCTCAGGTACTAAAGATGACGTCAGTGCGCATGCGCGCCGCAGTGGGGGCCACGTGCTCGGAAAATTGCCGTGGAAACATTCTCCGTCCCAAATTGTAAATAATAATTGAAAAAGGTAAAATTAGTATAGTATACTCAATCAATAAATTCCGATCAGTCTAGGTGTATTATAGTTTAATAAATACAAAAAAATTTCGAACGAATAAATTCAGTTGAATATTTATTTTGAGTTTCCCAATTTCCTGAATACATTAATTTCCTTAAAGTAGCTCATCAGTAGGCTACAAGTTCATACTGACCACACTATAGATGTCGAGATTTTCAATTATTAAATTTTTCCATTAAATTACGTGAGAAAATTTATAAAAAATTCATACACAATCAGCATCATTCAAATTACATTTTTCAACATATTATTTTCTTTTCAAACATCTCCGTTTTATAAATAAATAATGGATATTGTTTAAAAAACGGTCATTTATGTTGTATCATGTGTCAAAAAATTTCTTGATTTTTTTTCATATTTTGAGTCAAAAATTCCGATTTCAATCTTGCTCTACAACAAAGTTATGGACTTTGACATAAGACAGTAGGATACATCCTGATTTTTCAAAATTGATTTTTTGAAAAAACTAAAGCGTCAATTAAATCTAGCAAAAAATGACGATTAAAAAAATCTAATAACATTCTTTGGCGATTCTTTGTAGTTTTTAAAAATTCAATTTTTTCAATTATTAACGATTATACAATTCATTAATAATACAATATTAATAACAATTGTACTAATTTCGACATTCCTCCATGCTTCGGCTTCCTTTCGCGTTTATAAACAATGTCAGTTTTCACTGATTATTAACAAAAGTTCGTCTGTTATTCTGGATGTCCTACACGGTAAAATATCCTATAATATTTACCAATGCTCTCGGTAAATTTACCACTGCCCCACTACCTGCAGCTGACATGGACATGCGCACTAGAGAGAATCTTAGTTCGCTGACTACTATCCGGAGGCGCTGCGTACCTCTCTAATAAACTCACTGGCTGCCATAGGGATCGGCTATCCAGTTATATAGAGATCAGTGGGGGTAACTTGAAAAGAAATCGGAAAGCGAAAGAGGGAAAAAGGGGAGCGTGTGACGTCAACAGTTTTCCCTCTTGAGGGGTCTCAGGCCCTTTAGCTCCGCGATACAATGAACAAAGGAGAACTCAACATTCAACACGTGTGGAACACGTGAATCAGAGAAACTTTCTAAATATCTCAGAACCGAGATTTAACAATTTTACGACCGTGACCGTCGAGTTTATTTTCTCTCTAAATTTCAGAACTTCAAGAAAAGTATTGTTGTAAGGAATTTTGGAGAGCTATAAATTTACGAAGTAAACTCAAGTACTTGACATTTATTATTTCCGGCAACGGTTTTTTTCACGCCTGCGAAGTTGTTTTTCGTCCCCTGTTCATTGTCCTTTCATTCTCGAATTTTCTCAGTATTTAAAGATTTTACGTTACTTAATTAATTTTCAATATTAATTTGAATATCGCGGACAAAGATGGCTGATCAATGCTACCAACCATGAAAATCAGCGTCAAGACATCACACCACTTCGCCTAGGGACTTAACCGTCAGGCCTCAGCAGCGCCAGCGGTGTAAGCAGGACTTAGTACCCCGGCCTGAGTTCGACTGACGGTCGATAAAACAGTATTCTTGCCACTCGTGCCCATGTGCACACGCCCCAGCTTTGGCAAAGTCTTTTTGTATTAATTATTCTACTTACCTTAAGTGTGTTAAATAAATATTCAGTTGACAGTATCCCGCAATCTTTATTCTACGGAAATACCCTCACTTTTCCTACAAAATTGGTGACCCCGATGTGATTCCGCCGGATATTGTCACTAACCTCTAAACTGCACATGCAGCGTCTCATTATGTCGCTTCCTAGGACACCTGCAAATATCAATCGCACAATGCCCGTGCTGAGTCCTCAGCCTGACAGCAGCAGACAGCAGTTCAACCTGTCATTGATCGAGCTGGAGGATTTCACAACGAGCCTCACCTCCAACGACAACACGAGGACACAAACCAACGCAAATCCCCAGGTTCTGGCCCACGACAACGTCAACAACAACATCCGGCCTCTTCCAACCTCGGTCAGTACACTTTCAACTCACCCATGCAAACTTACAGAGTTCATTAGAACAAATCCACGTGCATGGTTCAGCCAAGTAGAGTCTGCATTCAACATCTACAACGTCACCACACAAGCAGAGAAATATCATGTTGTCATCAATCATCTTGAAGCTGACGTTTTTAATGAGATTTCAGACATTTTACTAGACCGTCCCGTCGAAAACCAGCATGGTTATCTCAAGGAGGAGACCCAGAACCGCTTCACTGACTCAGCAGACAAACAGCTCGAAAAGGCATTGTCTCAGCTGACTCTTGGTGATCAAAAGCCTTCCCAGCTCCTTCGCAAAATGAGAGCCTTAGCAGCAGGACGAGCCTCTGAGGACTTTCTACGGGTCAGATGGCTTTCCCTCCTGCCCCTCGACGTTCAGAATATTCTCAAGGCCACCAGGTTCACAACTTTGAGCGACCTCACCCCCGTCGCAGACGAGCTCATGGAAGTCTCCTCGACAGCATCGGTGATGGCCGCATGCTCTCACGCAAGGTTCGCTGTGCAAAAAAGCTCAGATCCAGTGACCACTGAACTCGCAGAGCTCAGACAGGCAATGACACAACTCATTAACCTCAACTGGATCGTGGCAGAGTCCCTCGAGAGACTGCACATATCTTCAAGATCCAGGTCCAGGTCTCGAGCCCCTTCAATGTCACGCTCTTCGTCGCCACCGCCTCAAGGTATGTGCTTCTACCACGCGAGGTTTGGATCCAAGGCACGTCGCTGCTTGCAACCATGCAACCAGCCTCCGCCTCTCCCAACACCTCCTCGGCGGTGGGCGACAGCGACTTCAACAACAACGACCACGACATCAGAGAACATCGCCTATTTTTCTTCGATCCTTTACCAAAGACCCAGTTTCTGGTCGACACAGGCTCTGTTATCTCCATCATACCCAGAGTAGCACCTCAACCCCAGGAGAGACCAGCAGAGTTCAAGCTCTACGCTGCCAACGGTACCACAATTGACACCTTCGGATAACGAGTGTTCACCCTTAACCTCGGATTACGTCGCGCTTTCAAATGATCATTTACTGTTGCAGACGTCCAAACAGCCATCATCGGAGCAGACTTTTTGGTGCATTTCGGCCTGCTAGTCGATCTCCAAGACCCCAGCCTCCTCGACAAGACAACTCATCTTAAAGCCCCTGGTCAGCTGTGTGAGGCTTCTATCTACAGCGTCTCCCCAGTTGAGCAGAGCCTCAAGTTTCCTCCATTTTATAGCGAGCTTCTCCACAAGTACATTGACGTCACGAAGCCAGCAGCGATCCCATCCATCAGCACCAGCAGTCGAACGGCTCACCACATCCCTACGACTGGTCCCCCAGTAGCAGAGCGACCACGTCGTCTTACTAGCGAGAAGCTCCAAGCAGCCAAAGACAACTTCGACCTTCTCTTGCAGTACGGCGTTATTCGCCCCTCCAGTAGCTCCTGGGCCAGCCCAGTCCACATGGTGCCAAAGAAAAATGGTGGCTGGAGAGCCACAGGAGACTATAGACAGCTGAATCGGCAAAAACTGCCCGATCGTTACCGAATTCCACACATTGAGGACGTCATCCAATCCTGTCACGGCAACAGAACGCTCAACGAATCTTCACAATGCTCGATCTGGTACGAGCGTACCATCAGATCCCTATCGCTACCGAGGACATCGCAAAGACCGCCGTCACCACGCCCTTCGGTCTTTTTGAGTTTGTTGGCATTCCCCCTGGGCTGTGCAACGCCGCACAAACCTTCCAAAGACACATGGACGGCCTGCTTCGGGACATCGACTTCGCTGCGTGCTACATCGATGACATCTCAATCTTCTCCAAGAACCCTGAAGAGCATCAACGAGATGTGGAGACCATTCTCAAGCTACTGCTGGACAACCACCTGTCCATCAACCCCAACAAGTGCCAGTTCGGTCAAGAAGAGGTTGAATACCTAGGTTATATTATAAATAAACATGGATATTCACCTCCACCAGCCAAGGTTGAGACTATCCTGCAGTACCCCAAGCCCGAGACAATTGAGGATCTACGCCGATTTCTCGGGATGGTGAACTACTATCGACGTTGCATTCCCCAAGCTGCTACCATACAAGCTCCTCTCAACGATCACCTGAAAAATGCCAAGAAGGACAAACGGAAGGTGCCATGGACCCCAGAATCCGAGGCAGCTCTGAAGCTGTGCAAATTGAGACAAGGCCTTTTGATTTTAATAAATAATTCACTGAATAAATAGAATCGACAAAATTATTAACAGGATTAGATAGAATTCACGTAATTGCAGAAGGCCTTCACCTGACGCGGCCTGGGTCAAGGGCTGTCAGGGCTCTGGAGACTCCTTTTGAAGGTCAATAAACAATTTCGACAATAATGATTCTTTTAATAGGGCGCCAGTTAATTTAACGGTAATTAACAACGTTGACTCAGCTCAGGGAGTGGATGTTGGACGTCCCAAGGATAAATTAAATCAACAGAGAGAGAGAGAGAAAGGAGAAAGATAGGCAGGAATAAAACAATAAATAATTACTCACAATTAATGTCGATAATTCACAGAGTATATTTTCTAATGAACTCCTGGGGAATCGACTCCTTCCACACAGTGTAAAGAATGATAAATAAACAATAATTAAATAAATAATTCTGACTGAGACAAACAATATTTAGATGTACACGTGTGTATTGCCGGAACAAGAGTAATCCGATGGGCCCTAGGCAGCCTGTTGCGTCGTAACAAATCAATAATTTGGCGCATGCGCCCTTGATGTCGACTAAAATCCTCGGCGGGCAGTTTGTTAGAATTCCCGAGGGTATGAGAATTGTTCCGACGCGAAGGGAAAATACTATCTCCTGTTACAATCTCCCCCATTTGAGCTTCATGTCGGTGGACAATTTTCCTGTAATATTCCTGCCTTAGTTTTGGAATCGTTAAATTACCATGAGGACTATTGAATCTAAAAACAAAAGTTTAGTTTCTCGTTTCTCTCAGTCTGTCAAGTATATGTGTTTTGAATGAAATTAATATGGGTACACAAATTATTGTGACATACAAAATCTACGTATTTTCAAGAAGAATTGTCGACAAATCATTAAATTTTAACTTAATTATTTCTCTTTTTAATATTTCTTTTTAGAGATGACTCTTTGAATGAACTGGTAACGAAAATAATATCATACTTATTTCAAAGGAGAACAAAAATAAACATGAATGGAACATAAAACAAACAAAAAAAAATTTAAATATGAGATGAAAAAATAGAAAAACATAAGATAAGAAGCTAGATCTTCGTGTGAACTCAGTTGTCGATTTTAATTCGATGCCTTCTTGTATCTTGTGGGGATGAGCACCCTGTACTTCTCGTTGTCTCTCAGTTCTGGACGTTCTTTGGTAATGTCGTCAAGATGTTTCATAACGATGGGACTCTGTAGCGCATTGACTGCCAGTCGACGTTTTTCCTCAGATAACTTGATGGGGGTTGGTACATTAGGATTAGCAATTCTCGGAGCTTTCATCAGGGCATTCTCCCTGATCAGAAATCGACGAATTCTATTGGGGGCATCCACGGGATCATCAAACTTGACCTTGATCCTTTTCTTTAAAGTCGATTCACCCTCGCCTACCATTATTTGGTGAGCTTCTGGTATAAGCCATGCAGGCCAAGTGGAATAGTTGAGTCTCTCCCAATCAGCGAAACCTCTCCAGCGAACAGCACAGTCAGTGCATTCTGGGCAATGGAGACTGAGATCGTTTGAACATCCGGCGCAGCGACCCAACATCCTCTCATGTTCTACGCCGTGTGGATAAATGCAATCCTCGGTGTCGAATCCTTGGGCACCACAGACGTGGCAGAACCCTGGGCGTAGAGGTAACGGACACTTACTGAAGTGATGCACTCGAGACCCACAGTTGACACAACCAACTGAGTGTAGTTTTCCGACTTGTGTCACATAAGTCTGGGTGCTTTTGGTGGCCTTTCCTCCATCCATCTTGGCGATCAAGAGCTTGGCACGTTCGGTGACCAATCGATTTAATGGCGCTTCATCCGGCAGGTATAATGGCTGACCCTCTGGATCTGGCTGAATGGTAGGAAAATTATGATCTTGGAGGAATGCGGTAAAGGAAGGTGCCTTTGGAACAGGAGCATGATGAACTGCAACGGAAGGAGCTAGGAGAGCTGAAGTTTCATCAGTGGTTTTAAGTTCCCTCGCGTAAATTGGAGATTGCTCTTTTGCTTTGTATGCACCCTGTAGACGTGAACGTTCCTTGTTCTCACGATCGATATCAGCTTGAGTCAGGGTGATCCAACTGAAGTCTAGCTTTGGTGGTAGCCTACCACGAATTTCGCAGAGCAGTACAGCAGCTTCATCTGATATCGGTTTCTTTACAGTTTTAGCGATAGCCCCCTGTTGCATTGGGGTTAGTTTTAAATCATTGACGCTAGGTTGTTCGAATATCAGGTTCTTGTCTTGGGATATCGGTTTCGATGCTGTTGTACTTATGTCGTCATCAGTTAAGTCGAGCAGGTCGACTCCCAACTGAACTACATCGTCGACATCAGAATGGTCGATCTCGGCCTGGGTAGATTTTCCATTAGCAGTAAGGGCATCATGGAATCGCAGGCGTTCATCGTTGCCTTCGGATACTCCGTCGACTGGAGGTGGTACCTCACTTTGGCCTGATGTGTCCGATGTGATGCTGTCATCGTTGTCTCGCATGATGACACGTCGTCTGCGTTGGTATCGGACCTGTGTGAACAAGTTTAATTTCGTCTAAGGCTACATCGCGGGAATTTTAAGTCGGTTACATAATATTTTCCTACTCGTTTACCATTCTTGTCGACCAATTCCGTCATTCGACTTAATATTTTATCGACTACTGCGGGACCCAGATAGCGATGAGCTAGTTTGGCATTGTAATTTCCTGCTTTGTTACTGAGCTTTTTATTGGGATAATAAACTTCGGAACCTACTTTAACTTCGACTTGGGTAGTTTTATTCCTATTCTCTTTGGCTGATCGCTCATCATTTTTTTTTCCAGAAACGCCTCGATTTTATGTTGACATTCATCGATCTTCGACATTTTCTCCACCCACAGGTTCTGAACTTCATTTTGAGGTAATTGATCATCGACATGCCGAATTTCTCGCTTTACTACAGCCTCTCGACCGTGATTAAAATAAAACGGGGAAACTCGTGTCCCTGCGTGAGGTACAGTATTATAGGCTAACTGGAATTTCGACAAATTAATATCCCATTCGTTCTGATGGTCTTTGATAAATGCGCTTATCATTGGCTTCACCGTTCTATTCACGCGTTCCACTGGATTCGACTGCGGATGGCTTATGGGAGTCGTATGATGTCTAACTCCTCTCGCGATCAAGAGGGTCGAAACGTCTTTATTGCAATATTCCGTCCCGTTGTCGGAAATCAAAGTTCGGGGGGTACCCCAACGATCGAATATCGACTCTCACATCTTAACTATCGTCTTGCCCTTTTTATCACATGTGGGAAACAACTCAATGTACTTCGTACTTAAGTCCTGAACGACTACAATATGGGAATTTCCTTTTTTCGACCTAGTTGTTATGTCTGCTGTGTCGATTGCTAATTCTGCCCAAGGAGTTTGAGTCGGTCTCGATGTCATTGGTCCCTGGATAGGATGTTGGTTATTTTTAACTCGAATACATGTTTCGCAGTCGTTAACGTATTGCTTCACGTCTTGGGTCATCCCTGGCCAATAATAATTTTGTCGAACGCGGTCTAAAGTTTTATGTCTACCTAAATGTCCTGCCTGAGGCTCGTCATGATTTTCTCTGAGAATTTGCAGTATTTTGTCTGATTTTACCACGAGTTTCCAGGGGTTTTCGTCATTAAGGATGGCTTTCGCGTAATCGGGTTGATAGTAATACATTTCATCGTTCTCGATTTTCCACTCCGGGAATCTACTAGGGCTTTTCTCGACAAGACCACGTTTGGTTTCGTACCAATTCTGGTCGCAAATGGAATTTAACTTGATTCGACTTTTAATCGTTTCTTCGACAATCTTTTCCCATCCCAACGGATCAACATCGACATCAAACATGCGCGAAAGAGTATCTGGCGCTTCATTCATTGTGCCACGTTTATGCTCGATTGTTAAATCGTGTTATAACAGGTAAATTGCCCAACGAGCGAGTCGGCCTACTGGATTTTTTAAGCTGTGGAGCCACAGCAGAGCCTGGTGGTCTGTAACGACTTTGAATTTCATCCCCTCGAGGTAACAGCGAAGTTTTTCGACTGCCCACACGACTGCAAGACATTCTTTTTCAGTGGTCGTGTAATGAAATTCAGCCCCTCGCAACGGTCGACTCAATACTTCGATAAGTAATTCTTTATCGGTTTCCGGATCTTTCTGCACGAGTATTGCTCCTAGTCAAAAATCGCTGGCGTCTGTATACAGAATAAACGGTTGCCCGGGAATCGGTGTACACAGACGCGGAATGTCGATCAGAGATTGTTTAGTTTCGTCAAAAGCCTTTTGTTCGGCGTCAGTCCATCGCCACGGGTGCTTAGGACTAGTTAATTTATTCAATGGTCCCTGAATCCTAGCGATATTTTTCAAGTGTTGATGATACCAGTTAACTAACCCATTGAATTGTCTAAGCTGAGTGCGATCGCGCGGTACTGGGTAATCGATTATCGGCTGGATTTTCTCTGGGTTCGGTCGCATCCCGTGTTCATCGATAATGTATCCGAGGTACTTGACTTCCCGACACGCAAAGCTACTCTTCTCTCGATTGATTTTCAATTTTGCTTCGCGTAAAACCTCAAATAGAATCGACAACAACGAAAGGTGTTCATCTAAGTTTTCGCTAACTACGATCCAGTCGTCTAGATAAACAAAAACTTTCTCTATCCAGTGGTTTGGCAATTTTCGCTCGATAATAATCTCTCCTATTCGTCTCTTTAACTTGTCCATGAGACGTTGAAATGTCGATGGCGCCCCTGTCAAACCGTAGGGCATCCGAACCCACTCGAGCAAGCCTTTACCCTCGACGACAAAAGCGGTGTACTTTCGACTTTCTTTTGCGATCGGTATTTGATGAAACGCCTCACTCATATCCAGGGTAGAAATAATTTTCGCCTGGTATAATTGCGACAAGATTGAACCCATTTGTGGTAGAGGGTAGGCTGGCTTCTTCGTCTTTTTGTTTAGAATTCTAAAATCGACACAAAAACGTAAATTCCCGTTTACTTTCG